ACACACTCTCTTCATAAAAGCAGAGAAGAACAGGTTTGGGTTTTTTTCTGTGAAGTTTATCTACACACTCGGGTATTCCCCAAATGCATGTTTAATGGCAGAGGTATGGGCAAAAGGAAGAAGGGAACACGGATAGCTAAGTTGAACTAAATTTTAGAATCAATAAGGCTGTCACGTGTACTTTGTTCACTTCAGTCATGACGGAAGCAGGAAAATGTGCTCTAAAGTCAGTAAAGCCTCCTGAAAGGTACATCTAGGTTTTGTAAGACATAGAAAATATTAAGCCTTTGCATAATTCACTTATTTAGCAAAACTTCAAGCCTTTAAGTCATCCTATAAAGGCTTTGCAAAGTAGTAATGTACATCCTTGTGACATATTTATCATATCCTCCTGGAAGTGTTGTGATACTGTCATTATAAGTAATTTCTAATTAGAATGTAAGAACAGATTATACAGATATGTCTTTTTTCCCAGTATGGTTATGCAAGTCAAAAGTAGCTAAGTTCTCTGATGACATAATTAAGCAAGAACAAGTCACATCTATGTCACTTTATCCACTTACAGACAGAGAATTTGGCCCAGATGTTTCTGAAGCAGAATTTGCCATAAGTGACTAAGTAGCTTTCATACTTTTTTTCCTCTAGAATCTTTAGATATTGACATCAATATAGTAAGACTAAAACCTTCAGATTCTATTCTGGACTTGAACCAATTCACCACAACTATTAGGTGGCAGTACGTATATGTCCCTCTTTTATGGCCCAGCCTGACCCAAGAGCTCTTCCTCCAGGTTTCTTGCTGCTGGAATGCTGCCTTCCCATCTGCCTGTCCATGCTCTTGAACTAAAATCTACTTTAAATATTTGCTTAAACCTCTTCAAGATGGCAAGATTGCTAAACATGGTCTATGTGACCTCTTCCCAATAGCATGCTGTTCTACTGGAGCATGTTCTTCAAAGGTAACTTACGGCACATTTAATGTTTTGGAGAAATACTTTAGAAATCCATAAAAGCTACTTTCACTCTCTAAATGCAACTCAAAGAGAAGCTGCTATGGTCTTTGAATAAGGAACATTCTTAACATTTTGTCCTTGGGTATAGGCTTAAGAATAGGGTTTGGAGGGCATAGAAAATGAAGGAAACAGTAGCACTAATTGCCCACAACTTTGAGGACTTCAACATCAATTTTAGCTTAGGCTTCCCTACTATTGTTGCCACCTTAAAGCATAACAATAACATAACGTCCTAACAGTAAACAAGTGCTCCTACATCTGAGGTCAAATTCTCTGGTCACTGAACTACATGGATATAGGAACCATTGGATCCTAAGAAGAAAACACCAGCTAACTCAAATCAGGAAAATCAAGGAGCAGCAATACCAGGATATTTGCACCTTTTAAGACCTCCACAACCAGAGACCAGAACCAGTACTGCCTCTATCTATTACCAAACAGTTCCTGGTCAGATTACTGAGCTAACAAGGGAAAGCATCACCCAGAGCCACCCTACTCCTGAAGGAAGAGCACACCAATTAAATCTGAGGCAGGAGCGACCAGAAATGAAGTGTTTGCATTGAGTTGCTGGCATATACTAGCTTGTAATAGTTGTTGCTTGCTCTCTCTCTCTCTCCCTAGTTCAATTATGCTTTCCCTATCCTAGCAGCAGTTTGTTCTCATTCTTTTGCACTCTACAACCAGCTCAATAACCTTGGATCCAACATAAGATCATGGATGCCATCAGCCTTTCAAACACAGTGACCTACTGTAGCCAGGAGCTCTTTGTGAAGGAAAGGCATTTCAGCAAATGCCTCCAAGATCTCCTATCCATTACTGATATCCCAGTACTTCGGAACTCACATTACTGCTTTAATATTTGTGACAGGCAATTGTTCCTCAATCTGTTTTAATTAGAACTACACAGTGCCACAAGTTACCAGTTTAAAAATCAGGGCACCACAATATGGTTGGGATTTTTCTCAGCAACTAAAAGAATGATTTCACAGACTAGCTTAACTTGAAATAACACAAAGTGCCAGAAAGCCATCTGTTCTAACCTCTGTGTTAAAGTTAACAGCTATTTTGGATTTCAACAAAGGAAGTCAGCTACAGCTATTAATGCTGGTTTGTTTTGGGTTTTTTTCCCCCCCATGGAGTCTAAGTACCCACTATTTTTATTAAATGGAACAGGAACAACAGTAACTGGAGATCCCTGAAGAAGGGGCAGAAAACAAAAATCTGGGACACAAACAGCACTGTGTTGCATTGCAATGCCAGTCACTTATCTCCTCACACATAAGTCAAGTCAGACCTTTCCCAGTTTGTCAGAACCTGCCACACAAGGAAGGCAGGCGTCACCATGAATACACGCAGTGACTGACTGCAGATTGAGGACATACTGAACCATCTAACACACTGCCAGCAGCCCCCAGCACATCTGGGTCTCTAGTATATTTTTGGGATGAAGTATCAGTTAGCCTGTCTGTGCTCAAGATTAAATCTAGGGACGGATACAATCCTTTTTAAAGACATAAGTTTAATACTGAGACTTGGAAGGGAAAGGCAGTATTAAGCAATTTATTTAAAAGGTAAAAAAGAAGTTATAGTGTTTTCTACTTGTAGTTAAAAAGACCATGAGTTTTCTAAGTGGGTCTTTATTTTTTCTCATGGGAGCTTTAGCTCATTCTCATTAACTAACTTAAATCTTTTCTTCCCCCACACTGTCCCTTTCATGAAGGGGCAGTCTCCCAAACCAGAGGTTGACAGTAGCTTTGATCCTAGTCTGATTCAAGGATTTATTTCCAGCATCAATGGGGCTAAAGTCTCATGAGACATTTGTCTTCTGGCATCAGATGATATCAAGTACTTGCTACTAGGCAAACCTTGAGATTTTGACCAAAAGGCCACACTCTGAAGTTTTGATGCTAACCAAAGATATTTTTTATCTCAATCTCACGTAAACCTCTTCCTTTTAATCTCAGAACCTAGAAAGAAAGCATTTTACATCCAGCATATTTGAACTGAGAATACAGACTTGTCAGTGCTCTGTCTGACCCCGTATTTCTTGTTTGTACTCTATTAGGAACTGAAAGACATGCTGTCACTGCAAAGAACAGCTGTCTTCACCTCAGTGGAGACCTTTTCCTCAGGATGTATGAATCCAAATTTTTGGGTCAGAACAGTGTCCAATGAAGCAACAAGGGTGCCAGTACATGTATGTTTAGCATGACTCCAGTGATGATATCTGCATGGTTTAAAGCAGTCAATGTACAAACTAGAATTATAAGAGCTCAGTTATATGCAATGCAGTAGTTTCCACAGCTTAAAATATGAGCAGTCAAAAATAAAAATATCACAAAGGGTACATGTTTCACATATATCAAATCACGACACTAACTGAACTTCCGCCAAACCAAATCACCGTGTTATGAAGAACAAGCAGCATATATCATCATGATCAACAGAATGAAAGGGCAGCAGCAACCTCTTCTCCATCTATTATTACTGGGGGAAATATTCACAGCAATATACATACACCTTCCTCATGAAACATCTAAATTATTTCTGTCAACCATAAATCTGACTCCTTTATTTCAAAGGAAACATGAATTCCCAGATTAACAGGTCACCAACTTAATTCTTTTCCAAACCAGTATTAAAACAGTAATCCCAATTCTGTGTTAAAAAGGATATTACTATAAAGTAATGATATGAAGAAATAAGCCATCAAAGGCAGAGAAATTAAATGAAAATTGATGCTGAAATAGCATCACGCCATGAAGCTTATGGTCCAAAGCCTCATCTTAGGTATGCTTATGAATAAGAACCTTCAATAAAACCTAGGAGTTCTTTACAGAGGTACCTATCGGTGATTTTTAAACGTTTTACAGGGTCTACCTATTTCTAGAGGTAGATAGCTTTTATCTGCACATTTGTCAGAAATGCAACTGAACTTTCTCTGGGCTCCAGTGCTAGTTCCACCTTCCTCCCTCATCCCAAGCTGTTTCCTCAGATAGGTTTCTGCCTGCCCCATCGCACAAATTTCAGCACACTACTCCTCAGCATTTATTTTCAACAGCAAAATGAGGGAATTAAACACTACTGAAAAAAAGCAAATACAAGCAACCTTAGGCCAGGCAAACTGTCAATTCAATTGACAGCAATCATCACATCCTATTCTCAGATGCAAATGCTGAATTTCACATCCCAGCTCTTCATAGCCATTAACCGCTTTTTTTCAATGCCTTGCTGCTCTACTGCACAGTCAACTTGGCTGTCGAGGCCTGCAGAGAGATATGTTATAATGGCTTTCCTGGCAAACCAGTGGTGCAGCTCTCCACACCAGCCAGTCCACGGAGATCTCCGTGCTGTGCACTGCTACTGCACGCCACACCGTGTCATTTCACCACTCTCTTGGTATTCGCTCTGCCCAAAAGCCACACTAGAAGGGTTAAGGTCAGGGACGGCTGCAGAGAACACCTTGCAGCCAGGGGGAATCCCAGTCCCATTCCCAGAGCCCTTCTGCACAGCGCAGGGCAGGTCACCCGCAGCGCCCTGACCAGCGGCTTTCCCCACCCGAGAGTGGGGACGAGGAGCCACCCGCGCACCGGAGCACAGCCACAGCGGGGGCCTGGGCACCCCATACTGTCTGCTTCTCGCGGCGGACCCGGCGCTGCCGGGCTTGGGGCACGGCCACAGCCCCACCGGGGAGGGGATGGCTGTGACTAAGCACACGCGGCCTCTCCTCGCCCTCCCACTCGCGTGGGCACCAGCAGCCGGACGGGGGAGCCGCTCCCGGGAAGGGACCGGGCAGGAGGCACCTGCCATCTCCCGCCCCCGCGGCCGGGCAGCAGCCCAGGCCGGCAGCCGGGCCCACGGGGCTTTCCGTCCCACGGCTGCGCCGCGACCCGAACGCGAGGGCCGCGCTCCGGGCACCCCGCACAGGCACCCCAATGGCCGCCCAGGCTCGCCGCCCCCGGCCCCGGCAGCCTGCCCTCCTCGTACCGCTGCCATCCTTGAAGGGAGGGGGTGGGACGTCTCGTAGCGATCGGGTCCAGCCCCCCTTCTCCGCTTCCTCCTCCTCCTCCTCCTCCATAGGGCCGGGGCCGCCCGGGACGGCGCTGCCGCCGCAGACCTGCCGCTGCCGCCGCCGCTCCGCCGGGGTGGCCGCCGCCCGGGGAGAGCGGCGCCGGGCCGCCCTGCCCCGCGGGCTTGGCGCTCCCGGGCGCCCCTCGTCCTCCTCGTCGTCCTCCTCGTCCTGGGAAGAGGCGGCGGAGCGGGAGTCGGCCGAGGTGCTGTAGAAGGGGTTCCCGCTGCTATCTTGGCCCGACTCCCCGAAGACGTCGTCGGAGATCTGCAGGCTCTCGTAGCGGGATCGGGCCGCCTCCAGCAGAGACAGCGCCTTCCTGCGCGCCGGCCCGCCGCCGCCCTCCGCCATCATCTCGGCCGCCGCCAGCAGCCGCCCGCGCTCCCCTCGGCCCGGCTCGGTCGGGTCCTGCGGCCGCAGGCAGCAGCCCAGCAGTAGGAGCGGCTCGGGCACGGCGGCGGGCAGGCAGCGAGTCGGGGAAGCCCCGCCGCCGCCGCCGCCGGGACTGAGCCCTGCCTCCCGCTCCCGCCCGCACCACCCGCCCCTGTGTGTGTGCAGGGACATGGGGGGAAGGAGCCAGCTCAACATCTCCAAGTACCACATCCAGCCAATTGCCGCGGCACTCCGCGCTCGGGAGGTGGGGTTATATGGGCGCCGCGGGCCAGCGCGGGCCGCCCACCGCCCGGCCCGCCGCCTGTCGCCGCTCCACCCATTTAAAACCACAGCGCCGGCTGCCGCGGGGCCGCCGCTGCGCCCCGCCGCCGGGAGGGGGGTGCGCTCCCGGCCCCGGCCCCGGCCGGAGCTGTCCGCCACCGCGGTGCTGCAGCCGCGCAGGGCAGAGACAGGAGCGCTGGCCTCGGTGCCTGCGGGCCCGTCAGTAGCTCCCGCTGTCCTGGGGGGCAGAGGGCTGGGAGCAGAAAGGCGCTGAGGGGTTGACCTGGTGGGTCCGAGCCCCGACGGCGCGGCCGGGGCCACACAGCCCCTCATGCACGAGAGCGTGAGCAGTCGGGGCCCTGGCGTCGCTGCCCCAAAATAGGGCACAGAGCTCCCGCGCTGGGGCGGACCCTGAAGGAAAGTGGGGAAGGTGCTGGAGCACAGGACTGTGGGACACCTGTCTCCAGATGCTCGCTGGCTGCTGGGCCTGCCACCGGGCTTGGGCTCCGGGGAGGCTTTGCACTGGTCTGGAGTGGCACACATACTCCTGCCCATCCAGCTCTCTGCAGGTTGTGGGGCTGAGCGCCTGTGGCATGTAGGTTGGTTTCTGAAGTGAGTACAGTGTGAAGTAACCATTCTTCCCAAATTACCACTGATCTAAAAGCAATATCGTGGCACAAGTAAAATGAGGAAAGTGAAAACACCCGTGCCCTAGCTGGGTTAGTTAAACATGATTCAGAAGTATCTCTGGAGTAATCTAAGGATTTCATACAGTAGCTGAGGCCCCCGGTTGTGCAGGAGTCAGAAGAGTCTGTCTGATGTTACCAGAATGTATGAAATCTCTGATCAAGGTTTATTATTATTGCTATTGGGCATCCCGCTGTGCTAGTTACTGTACAAATACTCATTAAGGCGACAGTCCCTGCCTCCCTTCTTGCCAACAGCGATAGCAGCTATCGAGCCCACCCTTTCACAGCAGCACTTTCAAAACAAACAGTAATCGGGTTCTGTGGATCTATCGTATGCAACTGGGGGGGGCAGGGGACGGCATATTATTTGCATTTTTTCATGCGAACTTTCAGTGTAGGTTGATCTGAAGATCTGGTAGTGCTACAGATTTAACAAGTTTTATAGCACTGAATGTTTCTGTCTTTAAAAAAGGAAAGTTAATGTCCTCATGGTTCTGAAGGACTCTAGCATAACATGGAAAATTATAAAAGCTGGACTCTGTAGGTATTTAAAAGACCAATCTTGTGTTCTATTTAGGTATTTTTAAATTGTAATGACTTCATTAAACTTTGAAGTTCTATATAGTGCATACAGCCAAATACAGAGAAAAGAATGTATCTCCTGTGCATCCTTAAGGAAACAGAAAAGCCCAGTGTAATTTGAGGGGTGAAATTTAAGCTGTATTTCTACTTTGAAAAATCTCAAAAGTGTCTTATTGATTATATTAAAATATTACTAAGTTTATATACAAATGGATTTTTAATTTTTTTTATTGCAAGCTCTGCCAATTAGCTGGCAATTTGGCATTGCACTGGGTTTGTTTCATCTCACTAGTCACCAGAAATCACAACTCTATAGGCCAAGCTATTATTTTAATTGATCCTTGCCACCCCATGCCTTCAGAATACCCTGATGGGAAGTCAAGACTGGATATGCAAAACTTTTCTTGCTGGTAATGATGAGTGACCAGCTTGTGGAAGGATGGAGGTGTTCATCCAGGTGACGTATAATTCACCTTGGCATCCAGATTCTATGAAAGTGCCCACAGACTCTCAGATGTCTTTAAATTTGTTTTTTCTGTAAAACACAACAGCTGGAAGGAGTGCTCTGAAGCCCAGAACAGAAAAAGATTTATCACGATAGACTCCCAGCAAAAGTATTCATGGGAACAGTCCAGTGACCAGAGAAACCCACATAGCCACCTCTATCTGCTTGTTGCAGCGAGGACAATTTCTCCCAACTCTTGCACACTTTACGCCAAAACCAGGTTCCCTTCACAGCTGTCTGATGCACACTGCCAGGATTTTCCCTCCTAATGGCATGCCAAACATTAGAAGTGTTCATTATTTTTAAGAGAATATTGGAGACTAGAGCTCTGGGAGGAGACTACTGCGCTGACAGACAGGGGCAGGACTGACCCTTGCATCTACCAATCCAACATGACATTTTAATGATGAAGTCTCCTGCCGTACACACACATTCAATTTTTGTTGGTGGAACTTTCCGCTCTTTCAGCTTAGTCTATACAAAGACAAATCACTCTTCTGCCTGTTCCACAAGCAGAGAAACTCTCTGCATCCATGGGAAGGTAAGATCACTTTTCTGAGATAGGACTATGGAGGCTCCCACATAGGGCGGGGTGCCTAAGGTTTTTGCTTGCCTCATGGTCTAAGACAGAGCTTTTCACATGTTCCCCTCAGACCAGCCATGGAAACTGCTAATTAGATTACTGTAACCCAAAATGAGGGTTCTGGATTGTGAAAATTGCCATGTGTGACATGCTAGTAGTCATTTGATCCCAAACGATTGCAGAAACACAGAGATATGACAGGTGGTCCTAAAAATGGTTTCATCAGTCCATTGGGTTTTTATGAACAATTCAGACAACAGTCACCAGTGGTGGTTTGCACTTGAAAGATTTAATTATATAAACCTAATGGAACAGTATAACCAGAGCCCTGTTTTCTCCTTAGTCACTTAAACTTGTGTTTAGCCGCTAGAAAACACTACTAGAGTAAATGGACTTTTGTAGCCATGGCAACCCGTGGATCCACTTTTAATTTGCCTACAGAGAAAATGTTTGGATTCTTTTTCCTTGAAGTTTTCTGTTTTATTGCTACAGCAAAGGTGCCTTCTGTACACTCCTTCTGGCCCTGCTGATCTGTAAGGTTAATACTGTGATAGTGGGAAGTCCTGTCACTTCTCAGTAATTTATTCTTCATAGTTAGCTCTTTGAGGAAGGGTCTTGTGCCATCTTGCACTATATTTTACCTTATCAAACCATGGCCTAGGTCCAACAGAATATTGACATTTCTGTTTCATACTTAAGCTTCCTCACTTCCTGTTGATTTCACAGAGTTTGTAGACCTAAGCTCTAGTGTGTGCCTGGTCCTTTCATATCACAAATACATTGAGATGGAATAATATTTAATCAGGTTTCATAATTATTCTTTTCTAGTCCTCTGCTCTGAAAGTGCAGCCCAGAATCTGAATTTCAAACTGTCTTCCATCTCAATGCCCCCCTAAAAGGAGTTTGTAGTGTCATAGTCGAGTTGTTCATCCAGCATGAGGCCAATAGGCTCCAGTTCCTTCTTCCATTACTGCACTGCCTTGGGTGAGCAGGAAAACTTGGGAAAAAGGCTTCATCAAGACTTAAAACAATAATGACTTCGACCAGCAGACTGTTTCCTCCAAAGCCCCTGAGAGAAGGGCAAGGAAGGGCTGTCCCATCCCTGGAAGAGATCGTGGTTCAAGCTGATTCTCAAGCACATCCTCATGTGATGTCCCTACTTTGCAGGGAAGAAACCTGTAAGACCACAACCAGTCCTGTTACATTGCTCTCCACACTCTTTCATAAAGGTTTCTGTTCTGTGCCTTGCAGCAGGACACAGGGAAAAGCAGCTCTGTAGGGATTGATTGGCCACTTCACTGCCCTGCATAATATACTGCTCCATGCAGGTTGTTGTGGAGCTCTTTCTCATCCTCCCTACAACTTGAAAAATAACACTGATAATAGATGAGTTTATTTTTTTTTTATTTGAAACTCATCAAGTATTTACAGCATATGGAATGTTGGATACAATAAAAATGCTTGCCTAGGTATTTCCTCTTTGCTTTCTGTTTTCCAGCAGCTTTATAGTGTTTGAACCCTATATTTCTTGGATTGGTATTTAACATTCCCCAAATACGACATTAACTCAAAACTCAAGGAAAAAAGCAAGCTGCTGTTTTCACATGAGAGAAAGGGAATTAATATGGGTTTTTTCTCATAGTATAAAAGGGAGAGGTGATTTTTGACACTTCTAATACTGAAGAAGGAGTAGGCTGAAATTTAAAATTTAGCAGAACAATTTCAGTATTTCAGTGATGAACACTTGATTTTTGTCTTAAAAACCTTTGGAAACCATGTTTTGTGCATGCCCAGTACATTTTTAGCAAAAGGTGTATTATGAACAAGTCTCACCTGAGCTCCAAAGGGAAAGATAAGGTGTGTTGCTCATGCATGCGTGGAAAACTAGCTGTTTCATCAATAATTTATGGAGGGTCATAAAGTACGCTGCAATGGTGTGCAGAAGTCCTGCCTGGCTCTCTGGTGTGCGCATGAAGCAGAAACTATGTGTGCAGCAGGCCAGAAGCACAGAGCTGTGCTGTCACTCAAAAATCAGAGTGCTGTGATGCTGTGCTTATTTTTCGATTGAAAACCATGCAGTTTTGAAATGCACTTTTTAAAGGGCTGACCCCATGCACACACTTCCCAATAAGACCTAATCCGGTAAAGTAGAACTTCAGGGGAGCACTGTTAAAGGCTGCAGTCCTTAAGCCAATGCTCTATAAGAGCCTGTGTTCCCCCTGGAGTGTAAGTCATGTTCAGCTTTTGATCAACATGGGAGTTGAACCTAGAAAGTCCCTGGGATTGGGAGTGTGGTACCATGTGGAGGCTCTTTGTTTAGCTAGTTAATTCTATTAAAACACGCTACAGGATTATTAAGTTTGCAGAGCTTGATGCCCAAACTTAGTGATAGGAACTTTGCTCCTCAGGACCTACAACTTCACAATTATGTCTGTAAGAACCTGCAGATTTCCAAGTTCACTTTCTTGAGATCTTTCTCGAAGGATGCTTCAGCTGCCAAACCAGGTGC